GAAGAGATCCTCTGACTCTAGCTCAAGAAATCATCACTCTTTCACCAGAAGACGTAGAAATAACGGTTCGGATGGTAGTCCCTCGGGTAGTAGTGGTGAAAGTAGTAGTGGAGGTACAGGTCACTCGGATGCGTCCGGGAGACAACGATTGACGGGAGGTTCTACCTCTCGCCCAAGAAGGAGTGGCAGAGGCCGGACAGAGGTTTGTAGAGGTTGTGGTCATAGACGTTGCAAGAAGAGGTCGATTATTCTTGTTAAGGAGTTTGACACGGCTGAGCAGGTGGCCTTGAGGTTAAAGCCTTCGTATAGGTTTAGAGGTGGAGAGGATAAAAGGTCGGGTTCTGCTTGGTTGGAAGAGATGGAAGACAAAACTGAGGGTCATCCCTATGTGGTTAAGTACCTATGGTTGAAACATCATACGGAACCGCACTCCTGGGGTAGGGTGACAAGAGGGGAGTATGCCCCGAGGAATTGTCAGAGCGAGTATGGATATTATCTGCGAAGAGTGAAGAAGGCCTTTCGCAAGTATTATGATACCAATGAACACCTTCAGAAGGTGCAGAAGAGATTGGAAAATTGTGTCCAAGGGAAGGATACAGTGGACCAATTCGTTAAGCAGTTGGACACTTTATCTACGGAGCTTTATTTTTTGGGTGCTGCTCCTTTGGAGTATAGCCTGAAATGGAGGCTCTATGTAGGGTTAAATAGTGATAGACTGAGGGATAAGGTGGAAGATTATTTGGAAGATATTGGTATTTCTTATGAGAAGTTTAAGCGGAAGGTGGTTGCTAAGGCTGCCAAGGTTAAGCAGATATCTAAGGTGACTCAATTTGAGGGTTCCAGACCTAGCTATGGGGCTAGGGATGGTCGCTCTGATTCAAGAGAGAGATATGGCTCCAGAGAGAGGTATTCAGGCAGCAGGTTCCGCAACCCGTCAGTCCACTCAGTGGGTACTGAGGGAACGGAGTCAGAAGCCGAGTTTGATTCGAAGATGTTAATGGCTATGGGTAGAGATGCAGCACAAATTAAATGTTCCCGGTGTTTGAAGATGGGTCATTCCGCGCGCAATTGCAAAGCGGAGCAGCCCGCTGAGCTGGAATCTAGGTGTTTACGATGTGGGAGTGTGAACCATAAATTGGACGATTGTCGGGTTAACCTAGAGAGAGCGAAGTGTAAGTTACACTGTGTAACCGCTGTGGGTTCCCGGGACATTTGGCTTATACGTGTCGTACAACACCGATTGCTGCAAGAAGGAACGGTTCACCATCCCCTTCGAAGCCTAGGGTCCCTAAACCCAACGCTTCTGTTCACATGGTAGTCCGAGACGAGGGTAATGGGTCACAGGATTCGTCAGGTGATTCACCATTAATGGTACATGGGTTACATGTGCCAATGGTTCTCGGTCATGTGATGCTAGAGGGGAGATCTACCACCGCTTTGTTTGACACAGGTGCGGAAGTCTCTCTGGTCACAGAGTCTATGTTGAAGGAGGTTGCTCCGGAGAAGAAGTTGGATACTTCCAATATTCCCAAGGTCAATGTGGCGGATGGTGCTACGCTCACGATACATGGTAGCGTCAAGCTGAAGGTTACCGTGGGTTCAAGATCTATAATAGACCACTTCGTGGTGACGTCGAATAGCTTGATAGTTCCTTTGCTACTAGGGTGTTCGACACTCGCAAAGCTGAACACTACTATCATGTTGAGTGAGGCTGGTTCTAAGGTGCAGACTAATGATGAGTCTGATGGTAATAGGGTTTCGTCAAGGGTCAGGTTCTCAGACGAAGTCAAATACCTTACGTCAGTGGGACCCATTAAATCTTCCCCTCCGGAGGAGAGCAATAGGTTGCAATATCAGGTATCTTTGATAGTAAGTCTGGTTAAGGAGAGCGACCCAAAATTGACCCGCCCTACGGTTGATGAGTTGCAAGATGGTAACTCCCCATGGTTCTCTTCGATTAGGCCAGATGCTATTGATCACCCAACAACTCAAGGATTCTTGATTAAAGATTGTGGTTGCCAAGGGGAAGGTAACACTTCCGATCAACAAGAGCCTACAAACGGTGAGGGTAGCCCCCAAGCCGAAGGTCAAAAATTTGACCACCGCGGGCAACACAAACGAGGATCTGATGACGAGGTGAAGGAGGGTGACCACCGCGGGCAACGCGAACAAGAACCTGAAGGTTTAGACTCGTTGCCACCGTGGAAGGCTATACCTCGAGAATGGGTGTATGATAATAGCGCTGTTCTGGGTAGACCTATCGTGGAAATCCCATGGAGTGGTAATGCAAGGCCGGATTTCAACTACAAGCAGGCGGCAAATAGAGGTGCTGCTTCGGTCAAGAGGTTAATGAAAGCCAAAGACAGGCCTTTGAGAAAGCTTTGGGTGTTTACGTTAACAAGGGTTTCTGCGGCATTGTCAAGAATAATCTGGAGGGTAATTGCATGAGGTCCCCAACTGCTACGGAGTGTCAGAGGACTTGGGATCTATTAGCCAAGGGTAGTGCACTCCAGGGTACGTGGTTACCTTACCAAAGCACTTTACGCCGTCACATGCCGTGTTCCGTACTGGTCATGTGACTACTCCGTGCCGCATTGTATTGGACTTCCGCGAGATGAATAAATTTTGTCTCAAGGGAGGTCGCACCCAAGGTGATCTGCTGGGCGTCTTATTGCATACTAGAGGTTATCGCCACTTAATAGGGTCAGATGTCTCTAAGGCATTTTGCCAGATGGTGACGTCTTTGGTGGATACCCCTTATTGTTCCTATACATGTATAGGCCCTTACACGGTCCTGTGGCTGAGGGTTTCCTTTGGTAGTACCACAGCACCAAATATGTTGGAGGCGTGCGGTTATGATATTATCGAGGAGATTGTCGGTATCAAGAATTCTCTACCCCCAGGAAATGAGGACGTGGTAGACGCAAGAAGGTTAGATCCGGTTAGGGTTTCTGACTGTCTGGTAAGGCCGTCGCCCCTAGCGGTAAAATATATTCGAGCGGGTCCTCCGGTACCTAGGGTGATACAGTTCGAGAAGTTCGTTGATGATCTGTATTTCGGTGGAAATACCGATCGTGAGGCTCGAGCTGCTAGGGAATTCGTCTCCTACGTATTCCGTGGTCATGGGTTGTGTACCGATCCGTTAAAAGATCTAGAGACGGCTCATGGTGGACGGAAGAGAAGAGTGATGGTACGGCAGATGCTCCTGGTCACCTCTAGGTTATGAGGTGATCACTGAGGTCGACGAGTTGCACTGCGTGTGTTCCGGTACTCCGCCGGATGGTAAGGTTGACAACAGGCGAGCATGCGGTATTCTATCTTCTTTGTACGATCCTATGGGGTTGTTACTGGAGGTAGATATGCAGGGTCGCTTCCTATGGAGAGACATTTGCAAGGTCGTCAAGGACTGGTCCGAAGTGTTGAAGGATAAGGAGTTGTTAGAAAGGTTACGGAGGTGGTTGTTTGATGCTCAAAGGCAATGTGCTGGTTTGGGTACACAGCGGTTTGTAGACCTCCATAACGAGTCCTTGATGCTGAGTACGGATGCGTCTAGCGATGCATGGGGTGTGGATGTAAGAACAACGGGTGATACTTCGAACAGTCGGTTGATGGCCAAGGGTGCGCTATTTCCAGCAGGTCAAGTTACGTGGTCTATCCCGCGTAAAGAGCTGGTCGCTTTGCATCATGGTCTGAAGTATCTCCAAGCTGCGTCTAGTTACTTACCCATCCCTACCGTACTGAGACCGTTGCAAGCTCCTCTACATGGTTTAGCTCCACAGTATAAGAGTCGACGGGTCTTACTGTAATGTGATAGCGAGATCACCATTTATAGACTCAGGCGTCCGTCAAATGATCGTAAGCTTCCAGCCCCGGAAAGGAGACGGTTGGAGGAGATTCGAGCTCTATGTAAGAAGTTGGATGTGGTTATCCGACATATTCCGTCCGAGTTGAACTTGGCTGACGGTATTACTAGAGCAAATGTGGAGTTAAGAAGGTCGATTCGGGTATCAGAGGTTCTTAAGGTTTCGGCGACCTCAACTGTGGTCTATGACCATCGAGAGTCTCCAATAGAAGATACCGAGTCGGAAGATGTAAGGTTTGACGACGGCGCGTCCAAGGGGTCTTGTTGTGACGTCGACCACGAGAACGAGGAATCTATTTCTTCCAAGGTTTGTTTGGTGGTTTCCCGAGCCGAGGGTGAAGAAGAGAAGGTGGAAAGGAGTCGCCACGTGATGGTTGTCAACGAGGATGGTATTAATTTACCAGACTTGGAAGGATTTGTAGGAGAAGAATATGAGGAGTTGGCAGCACTCATGAGGTTTGCGACGCAGGAAGGGTTGGCCACTGAGGAATTACTAGGGGAGGAAGAGTTCTTAGACTGTGTGCTGAAATGTAGTAGGAGGTGTCAAGAGGTGGATGAGGATTTGAAGAAATTCGCCGATTACCTACGCGGGGACGCGAGAAGAAAAGATCTGGGTATGCGCGCTAGAGTTATTGAGAGGTTTGCGCGGATTTGTTATCTGGATCATGATGGGTTGATTCATAGACGGCCGAGCTCAAGGAATAGTGAAGAGTGTCTAACGGGTCGAGGTGTTGTATACCTAGCCATTATGCGTTCGTTCATCTGGGTGGTGCTCGGGTATATCGCAAGTTGCAGAAGAAGTTCGACCGAACGGGTATGTCTCGACTAGTGAAGTTAACTCTAGGGTCCTGCGTTCCGTGTTTGAAGGCGAGGGCAGTGCGATCGATGAGTTATATTACTAGTGAAGTTCAAGAGTTGGTGACTGGTGGTTTGTGGCAAGTGGTTGGTGCCGATTTGGTTGGGCCATATGACAGGAAAGGTGAGTCCGATCAAGACCACTATTTGTTGTTAGTTCAAGATCATGTGTCGGGGTTTACCTGCGCGAGGGTGTTGAAGGATAGTAAGACGAGAACGATTGCGTTAGGGTTGCATGCGATATTTTGTGAGCATGGAGCTCCGAGGGTCTTGATAACTGACAATGATAGAGCGAGGTTGATTCGGCGAGAGGTGAAGCTGACGTTGGCCAAGCATGGGGTTAAATACTATACTTTACCTGGGTATTCCCAGTATCTATCCTTTTGGGAGAGGGCGCATAAGGACTTAGAGGTCACGAAAGCGCTAAGGAGCTCAAAGGGTAAGGAAGCTACGGGTATTGAGGATTATTTGCTAGCAGTACGTGCCTATAATATGACCCCAAGGTTGTGGGCAAATGTGTGTCCTGCTGAGTTGCACTTCGTTTACGGTACTAGGGTACCAGGTGAGAGGGGTAGTCTCGATGGCGAAGTGAATTGGGAAGTTCTTAAGCTGAAATACTTGGATACTGACTTGGTTCAGTTTGTGCAAGATAACATACCGGTTCTAGAGGGTGCTAGAGATCAAGCTAGAGTGACGTTATCCGAGTATTTGGAGTTGTGGCGTATGAAGCAATCTAAGTATCTTGAGAGGTTAAATCAAGATAAGGATCGAAGGTATACCCCTGCGCTCTTCGATGTAGTGTTTATGTCGAAGGGGTCGGATTT